GCCCTGCAGCCCCAGAGCCCAGGTGCCTCCAGCCTGTCCCCCCTCACCCCCAGCCGGCCCTCCTGCGGAGCCGAGCCCCTCCCTGCTCTCCTGGCCCTGCACGACCCGTGCCCCCCAACCAAGCCCCCTCCAGGGCCCTTGTCCTTCTTGAGTCTCTGGCCCCTCCCAGTCCCCAAGCCCCCAATTACAGGGTGTACCTCACCAAGCCCCTTTCCTCCGAGGGCCCAGCTCTGCACCATCCTGTCCCTGACCGGGGCCCCAGACCCCAGGGCACCTCACAGCTTCAACATTCTGAGCCTAAGTCCAGGCCTTCACTGAGCCCTGGTGGCCCCCACTCGGCCCGTCCTTCCAGAGCCCACCCCACTTTGGCATTCCTGTCCCCTCCTTTTCCCAAATCTGGACCCCACACACCCAGCCCAGAGCCCCTGAGCCCCACCCTCGATAATCTGGCTCCCTCACCAAGTCCAGTCTTGGAGACCATGAACTCTCAGCTGTTGGAAGCCGCTGCCCCTGGGGCCAGGTGTCCCCTCCAAGCCCCTGTGACACCTGTCTCCTTGCAGCTCAGGCCACTTGCCTGCCCTGGCCTTTCTGCAAGCCTGGCCGCCCTACCCTGTGGGTGCTCTGTCCCCAGGTCTCTTCCCCTCCCAGCTGGCGTCTTCCCCACCATGCCTTCACTGTCTCTCTGACACTTGCCCCCAGCTAGCTTCCCCTTCCTGCAGATGTCCCCATGATACCCTCCACCACGGAGAAACCCTAGCCCTCTCGGCTTCCTCAGCCCCCACCTCACTGTGCAGGGGCCCCTTGCTAAGCTGGGTCCTCTTCACCAATCTGCCAGCCCCACAAGAGTCCAGACCCACCAGAGCCCCCCTCCCCCCAGCTGCCTCCTGTGTGGCAGCCTGGTTCCTCCCTCCCTCCCTTGAGCCCCCCGTCCTCCCCATAGGCTCTGCCCTGAGACCTGCCTCCCATGAAACCCCTTTCTGCTCTCTCTCAACCTGCCTCCCTTCTCTCCCTGACCCTCTCCTGCGAGCCTGGGCCCTTGTCCCGGACCCCTTCTCCTCGTTCATGCCTGCCTGTGCCAGGTCCTGTCCAGTCCCCTTCTCTCCCCAAAACTCCGTGCGCTCTGAGCCTGAGCCCTTCTAGCCAGGCATTCTTGTACCTGGGCAGGCCCCACCCCCTCACCAGGCCCTTCCCCTTCCCAGCCCACGGCTCTCTCCTTCCCTTCGCAGACCCTGGCAAGGCCTCATTCAGGGCTTGTCAGGAACCGGGGTGGGGGGGGGGCAGCACCTGGGTTGGCTTTAAAGCTGTTGCGAAAACCCTCTTCCGGTGGGAGGGGTTCCCAAGCACAAGCCCCGCCCCCACCCTGACCACGACCTCGGTGGGGCCCGGACCCGGGACCAGGCTCACAGGTGTGGCGCCCGGTGTGGGCGGGGACTGTGGGGAAGCGGG